TTAATCTATTCTCAGAATTTCAAAATGAAATGACCGAAGTTTTTTAGGAGTCTGAGTCATGAGTGTGCACAGAACCTTACAATTATCTCGCCAACATCCGCATAGAAAGAGAAGGGGTAAGACCAGTAGGATTTTCTCATTGTATGCAGGGACTGAGTGGTGGTCTGAAGCCCCAACGGACCGCAGGCCTGCGCCTTGCAAGCACTTCTATCCGCTGGCGTGGTGTGGGCGTGAATACGTAAACGTCAAGCGAGAGTGGGTCACTGGCCGCTTAATCAACTGCTTGACCAATAGCAGTCTACGGCACCTGTGATTGGCTCTCCCGAAAACAGATAGAGCAGCGCAGTCAGGTGACGGTTTGCGGGCTTAGCGCCGGCGCTAGAGCTCTTCGCCTCAGACTCCGACCAAAATGAGGTGTCCACATCGTAGTGAACGATGAAATGCATTTCATTTCTATACAGACAGAAAAGGAACTCAGTGCTAATCTAATGCCTGCGTGGCGTGGGCATGAATTCGTAAAGTTCATGCGAGAGGTGCTATCAAACGAAACGCAATTTGGATGCCAACTTAATTGCTCTCACTACTGTTGCAGTTGCGCATAGTCACAGCATTCGTAGCGGCCTGCCAGCTTTACCGAAGTCCTTAATTCAAACACAACATCGCAAAATCTATTGAACACATCCAGGCGTTTTTTGCGATTGTATTGGCAGAGGTCATACAGAAGGTGTGGTTTGGAATTGATTGTTCGACTATCCTAATTTCTTCTGTCCTTTTTGAAGCCATATTAGAAAATACCTCATTAGCTGCTGCGTTCCTGATGAACTTTTCGCTCTTGGGTTCATTAAGGCCATTGTGTTCCATCTTTGAGAGCACTTTCCATGAAAGGGGAAGAGAATTCGCCTATGCCAAATAGTCCTCCTATTTTTCTTCGCCACTTCCTTCTGAACTAGGTGAGGCCGTATGGGTGCAATTATGATTGACTAAGTTGCAAACAATTATGATGACTGAGACAACATGCAACCTTTGTTGTGCCTGTTCGAGCATCGTCACACGTTTGGGGGACAATGCACATTTTTTTGCTGTTCCATCTTAAAATGTTTACGTAGTTACGCATTCCGTAATATGAGTATCCCAACGAACGTCTACAACCAAAGTATATTTTTTGGATGCCAATATAATAGTATACAGCTAACAGAAGTTGCCTTT